AAAAACTATGTACAATAAGAAAGGGTAATTCGGTCATTTTCATGTAAATGGCTTGATGTTAAGTAAACGAAAAGTCAAACGCTATTAAATAATGATGAGATACAGATTTAAAAATGTTATAACAAATATCTTATAAAATAACGAGCCTAATATTTTATAGGGAGAAATATCTTATATTGGCTAAATTTATTTTGGCAACCAAACGAGGTCTAATAGTATAACAAAAACAAAAACAAGGACAAGCTTGTTCAATCTCGACGAAAGTTCTTGCAAAGAATATCTTTCCTAGGCGAAAGAGGGGCATAATTATAACAAAAGAGGGCTCCTCGAATTTTCAAAAGGCTCGAAACTATCACGAGACGAGAGACAGAGTACAGAAACACCACCAATATAGTCCACGAACCCAATGCATCAAAATAAACCCAAAGAAAAAAGTCTGATCCAAACAACATCAAAGATAAGGATGTTGGATCATTAATCCAACATTGGATTTATATGTGAAATAATTATGCGTTGTTGACTGTCATGCTATGATAAATCCGGTAAAAGTGATTTATCGGTTTTAAGTAATTGAACTCTAAATGTGTCTATTAGGATGTGAGCCTTATACGTGTTGAGGTAAATGAGATAGTTTTATTTTATTGATGGATTTAAATATAATTATCAAAATAAGCGTTATAAAGATCGTGGTCCCTAAATTACACGATGTACCGTTTTCATTCTCTTATACCCCATCCAGAGAGAACGTGAGAGAGAGAAACAGGGAGAGAAGGATTTCTCATCTTCCATCGTGCTAATCTAGAAGACCACAAACTTGATCTATTTCATGGGCCCAGTTAGTTACGCGCTTCCGCCTTAGATTAATTGTTATTGATGATTTAGGCATGTTGCTCTTTCAATTATTATTTATACATGTTCTAACAAGTGGTATCAGAGCCACAAGCCTTGAATCATCGAGAATTTTGAATTTATGAATTCTCATGACTTTGAAACTGTTTGGTTCTCTCTTCATGAATTGTTGGTTGTATATTGAAGTTCCTCAATACGTGGTTATTATGTTGGTTGTTTGATATGAATTCAAGTATTTTGGATTCATCTGTCTATTGCTACGGTTCTGCTTCAATTCTTTCTTCCCAATTAGGTTTGATTTTTTTTTTTAGGTTACGGTCTTGTGCCAATTTGGGAAGAGGGTGTTCTGGAAGTTTTTTTAGGAATGAATTGAACATTCTGAAAAACTTCAATTTAGGGTTTGTAAAGATTCAGGGGTCATTCTGTATTTTTTCAAACTTTTAGTGTCTGTTTAAAAAAAAAAAAAACTTTTTTATCATTATCTATTTATTTATTTTAAATCTGCAAATCCTGGTCCTCGTATATTTTTTGGCTTGTAAATCTTGAATGTATATGGACTTAATTTAAGGCCCAACAGGAAATAAAGCTCTAAATTTTGGAATAATTCTAAATTCGAATATTGGACTACTTTATATATTTCAGAATAAATTAATTGAAGCAGCATCTCGCCTAAGTGAGCTCTCTTGTGAATATTAGTCTATTTTAAAATACAACAGGTTTTGCACTTATAATTATGTGGGAGTTATGCCGGCCCTAAGGAAGGACAATATTTCATATAATTATATATATGTACACTTGCGGTAATGAACACGTGATGATTATTTGGTTTCTTTGCATATGACTAATAGTTTGGCCCTAAGGTAGAATTATTATCTGATAAGCTCTTATTGTCAGTGTTCGATTGCTGCGCTAGTGATATGAACCCCGTAGAACTTGTTACGGGACCCAATAATCTTATACGGAAGCAAGAACGGAACGTCCAAAAATAAAAGATTCGATTGGCGGAATTCGGAATATTGACCCCGTAGCTATAGAGAGCTAGAAACCAATATTATCAAGGTGGAAGTATTGACCCCGTGATTATAATGAATCAGAAACCAATACTATATTGCTAAGAATAATTCACAAGAATCCACTTGCAAAATATCCCGAAGAGTTGTTGAAGAACAACGAAGGAGAATTTTAATCTCTCAAAATAATACTTAAAAAAACGTCCAAATAATAATGACCCTAAATCAACCTATTTATAAGTGTCAAAGAGACCTAATCTAACAAGGAAAATAAATCATAACTTATCTATTATAAGGAAATAACGAAATAAACTAAATCTAGTCCAAATCGGACTCTAAATAACAAGAAATAAATTTTCCAATAATGAAATACGAAAATTAATAAATATCATCTTTTCCATGTCACGTCTTCTCGGCTGGATGACTAGACGGGCTCAAGTCCTTGAGCTCGGCTTGCTTCACAATTTGGCCCGATAATTCGCTCTAACTAAGCTCAGCTGGGATCGAACTAGACTTCGTCAATTCTTCCTTTTGGAGCTTGTGTTCTACTAAGTTAAGCATGGTTGCTTCAATGCGCTTGGCCCGAGCTTGGGTAATCGGTCCTCTTAGCACATGCAACTCGTCCAAGTCATCAACTCCTTCATCCAGCTCGGCACTACCCCGAGTAATTGGCTGGATCGTATCAGCTAGGATACCACTTACTCGTTAATATTATTGTCCAAAGTCAAATTGTTGATGGAGTGTCCAATATCCTATGATGGGGTTTACCTCTATTTGAATTTCTTCTTATTATTTTTATTATGAGCTTTATAAATTCAGCCATGAGTTCTCATGCCAACATTAATTCAATACCTTCCTGAATGGTTCTAATTTTAAGTCATGGGAATATAATCTTTTTATTTTTCTCGGAGTCCATGACTCTGACCTTGCGTTAAGGGTTGATTCTCCTCCACCTCTTACAGATAAAAGTACCCCTGATGATAAAAGGGATATGGAAAGGTGGGAGAAGTCAAATCGCATGTGTTTGATAATAATGAAGAAGGTCATTCAAGAAGCATTCACGGGCACTCTTTATGATAGTATTACTACATCAAAAGGTTTCCTTGTTGATATTGAAAAGAGGTTTGTCAAGAATGAAAAGTCTGAAATTGATACACTTTGGCAACGGTAATGTCAGAGAGTACATTGTTGAAATGTCTCATCTTGCTTCCAAATTAAGGGGACTTGAGCTTGAACTTCTGGAGGAATTGCTTGTGCATTTGGTTCTAATATCTCTTCCTCCTCAGTTTAACCAATTTAAGGTGAGCTATAACTGTGAGAAAAAGACATGGTCTCTGAATGAGCTCATCTCACACTATGTTTAGAAAGAGGAAAGGGTGAAGCAAGATAAGCCAGAAAATGCTCATTTCACATCTACTTTTAAGGGCAAGGGAATGAAAAGAAAGAAGGATACTAAAGATGCAATTACTCCAAATCCAACGCCACAAAAGAAACAAGATAAGAAATCGGATGATCCGGAGAACAAGGGATGTTTCTTTTGTGGAGTTGACAATTTCTGACAGCTGCTTGGAATGGTCAACAATACTTTATAACGTTCATAGACAACTATCCTCGATATGGCTACATTTATCTTCTTAAAGAAAAGGTGCAACCACTAGATGTGTTCAAAAATTTTAAAGCCGAAGTTGAGAATCAAGTAGGGAAAAAGATCAAAAGCGTTAGGTCTTATCGTGGTGGCGAATACTACGGTAGATATGACGAT